AAGAGCTGGACAAGGAATAAGGATGACAGAAAAAGAGTTGGCACCTTGAGCTGTGGTGTTGCAGAAGAGCACTGAACATCCCATGGATGGCCAAGAGAACAAACAGACACGTCTTGGAGAGGGTGCAGCAGGAGTGTTCTTTGGAGGCAAGAGTGATGAGGCTCCACCTCACATACTTTGGGCATGTCACTAGAAGGGGCTATTCCTTGGAGAGAGACATGATGCTGGGAAGGGTGAAGCGTCAGTGAAGGAGAGGCAGACTCTCAACCAGGTGGGCTGACACGGTGACTGTTGCAATGGACTCTTGTGTTTCAGGAAGTGTGAGGATTGTGCAAGACAGAACAAGATGCAGATTTTTTTGTTCATATGGTAACTATGACTCAACTCTACAGTACCTAACAACAACAACAACAAGAGTTTCCTAACTTTTTAAAGTGATACAAGTTTTATTCTAAAACTGAGTGCATAAAAAAGTATTGGTTTTCTTTTGTTATGCGAAAGAAATTAGGTCTAACAAAAATAAGAAGTAAAACAGACAAACACATACACACACCCTCTCTAAAGTTCATTTTACAATTTGAGGAAGTTGTATAGAGTCATCAGGAAAAAGCAGAAAAGTAAACAGGAAGAGCCATACATTATAATGAGGGTAACAAGATTTACAAATGCAGGCAAATTTCCAAGTTCAGCTATCTGAACATTTAATTCAGAATCACATAATTACCAGAAAACTGAAATTCTACCTACTAGCAATTACCCTAGAATAGTCACAAGTCCTGAAAAGTTCTTTATCCCTTATCAATATAAGCAAAACAACTTAACATTTTCTTTAAACAAAATAAAGTTGTTATTATTATAGATGTCTAAGTATGTAATATTTTACGAGACTTCTGCCACAATTTCAAGAGAATGTACACAGAGTTCCTTCAACTCCAACTATTAAGCCCACTGCCTTAAATAAAAAAATTTTTGGAACTTTATACAAATTTGTCTTTCTAAAAATTTGTTCCTTGGAACAGCAAGTAATCTCACAAGAATCTGGAGTGGAAAGATTAAAAGGTTTCTACAATTAATGAACTGAAGTCTCAGTAATTCACAAACCTAGCAGTAAGGAGTTGCACTGATAA